TGGCTTCCACAGCCATACCCAGCTGGTGCAGCCAGTGGCCTGGCACTTGATGGCCCATGTGGCCATTCTCTCTGTCCATGGTGGTGTTCTGGTCCTTCATGGCCTTCATGGCTTTCATGGCCTTCATCGCTTTCATGGCCTTCATGGCCTTCATCACTTTCATGGCCTTCATGGACTTCTTGGCCTTCATGCTTGGTGCCATCTTGGAGTTGGCCATGGCTGGTACAGCTGGGCTTGGTCTGTTTACCTGGCTTGGGCCACACTTGGTCACCTGGCACATGGCTGCGACACAAAATGGGTTGAGCCTTGCGCAAAAGCATAGTTGGACAAAATTGTTTTTTGAAACCTTGGCCATAAAATGGCCTTTGTGAAATTAATCTACCATAGTGGCCTTTGGAAGTGGTTTGGCCAACATGGCTTTTGAAACATTGGCCATAAAATGGCCTTTGTGAAATTAATCTGCCATAGTGGCCTTTGGAAGTGGATTGGCCAACATGGCTTTCGAAAAATAGGCCATAAAATGGCCTTTGTAAAATTAATCTGCCATAGTGGTCTTTAGAAGTGGATTGGCCAACATGGCTCTTGTTCCTGCAGCTGCTAGGTCACATGGGCTTTTGTCACACTCCATTCATGGAACTTGGCATCCACATGGTTCGGTGTGGGCAAATGGACCAAAGGTTGGCCCTTGCTTCCTCAGTGGTGCTGCTTCTGATGGCTGTCCTGCCAGGATGCAGCATGGCTTCAAAACAAACAAAGTTGGCTAGCAAACATTGCAAGCTCAGTGGTTGGCAAGACAAAAACTATCATTGATGTATATCATGGAAAAGAAGCAGTTATCTGGCAATCTAATCTGAATTATATAATCTGCTGTCCTGGTTCGACTCTGATGGCATCATCTCCCAGTGGTGCCACACATGGCTGGCTATTCATGATGGTGAACCTTCATGGATGCCCACATGTTGGGCAATTCCTGGTCTCATGGTCCACATCCATGGCCATGATGAATGCATGGCAACTCTCTTGGCCATGGTAGCCTTTGCAATGGTACCAAGCCAGTGGTCTCTTGTGTGGCTCCATCAAATGGAGGGCATACTGGGCAACCCTTTGGAGTTGGATCCATTGGGGGTTGTCCACCCATGGGTTGGGATTCACCCATGGCACATAGCTGGGTGTCTCAGTTTGGATTCCTCGGTCTCTGCCAGAGCAACATGGCAGTGGCTGGCCCATGGCAATGCCTGTGAACTGCACTATGGGATTGGTGGCTTGGCTTGAGCCTTAAGAAAATATGGGATTGTGGAATTGTGGCCTGTCATTGATTGACTTTGTTGCATTCTGTAAGCCATTGTGGCCTTTGTACATGCTACATGCCAATGTGGCTCTTGTTGGTCTAGCACCTGTTGTTTTCAGTGCTATGGTTTTGGTATAGCACATGTTGTTGGTATAGCACATGCTATGCTTTTGTTGCCTCAGCTTTCATACACTTGAATTGCTGTACTTGATTTTTTACATACACATGCACTGATGGTGGACCTTGGTTGATTGCTGTTCTTCTTGGCTGTGCCATTTCCTTTATTTGTGAAAACAGCAGCACCATTCAAAAACATCAGCCTACATAGGTGCTGTCAATGGAAACTGTGGATTGATAATGGTTCTTCTTGTTTTGGTGATTATTTTAACAATGGCCATGAGTGGCTTTTTGTGACTTTATTCTTGGTGCTTTTTAGGCCAAACAATGGCTTTTGCAATCCTTGGCTGCAACTTCTCTTTTTGTTGCCACCACTGCTATGGTCACCTGTGGCTTGATTCTTTCTTGGTGGCCTTGTAACTTCTGCTGGGTTGGGCAAAGGCAATTTGGCAACCAGCTCTCAAATGGTAAATGACTTCCCTCAAGGGTTCTGGCTCCATGGCAACAAACAAATCCCACTTGGTTGGTCTTTGGCCACCAACCAAACATGGAATCTCAGTGGAACCCAATAGGATGGTGACCGCAAACTTGTCACCTGGTTCTTCCATGGCTTGGGCTTTTCTTTTTTTGGTGCATTTGTTTTTGGGCATCTCTGAATCAAACAATTCTTGGGTCTCTTCTGGTGCTGCCAAATATTCTTGGATCTTGTCATTCCTGGCTTGGACCAATGCTTGCAATTCCTTGCTCTTGGCCAAGCTGGGGTTCTTTGTGGGCAGCTTGCCACCACAAACCAGTTGGCAAATGGCATAGTTGGTGGCACTGATCTTGAGGAACTTTTGGCCTTGGTGCTCCTCAACCAAGTCTGCAGCAATGCTCACTGGCTTCTCCTCTTGGTATGTGATTTGGCAGCGGTAGGAGATGTCCACCATTGCTGGTTGCAATTTGCCGGCACTGGAGTTGGCAACTCTCTGGTTCCTAAAAATGCGGGTATAATGCATGCCCACAGAAAAAATGAAACCAAATATGGCCAAAACATGGCTTTTGTACGTTGTGACATGTCATGCAGAATGTGCCACAAAACAGGCATTTCTGTTAGTGACGTGCGTCACCAGCTATGGGGGTGAAGCAGGGTCTGAGGCCCCTTTCGGGAACGTGACGCGCAGGGGGTCCCGAAGCCACCCCCCTCAAGCAAAACAGCACAGCTGGACCAGGCTGTAAGACCTACCGCTACACCCTGGCTGGGTTGTTTTTTTCCATTAAGACGCTGTTCATACAAAAAGTGGGGCTCCTCAGTCCTTTTGACCTAGCCTTGGATGTGACTCTCTGAGAAACACCAGTTGCCAATTTATATGACTGAGGACGCTGGCTTAGCAAAGGTGCGGTCAAGCACGCTTGATTCCAAGTACTAAGTAGCAAAATGAAAATTGTGTACTTGTTACCTTGAAAAACTGAGTGGCGGAAGCAGCTGAAGCAGCTGGGTTCCTTCAAAGTTGTTTTCCCCATTCCTTTTCTCTTTCAAAGCACATGTTTTTCTGATCTGACGTGCGTGTTTCGCACCAATGCAAGTTTGTTTGCGGAACTCTTTCTCCAGCAAACTGAATTGGAGCAGCAGCTTAGCCTCGGCAAAACGGATAGGAAGGGGTTTTGGTAACCATAAGCTGCAAAACATGTACTAAACATGTTTGTTTGACAGCTTAGTATGTGCCTGTAGCATTATAGCAACTCAACTCTGTTTCCACCACCTCTCCCCTTCAATGAGAAGAGGTTCGGTTCTGATGCTACATTGATTCCGAAACAACAAGAAACCTAAGCTCAAAGTTGGCCAAAGAACCAGGGGTCAACAACCCCAGCACATGGACAATAGGAACCAAAACAAGAACTCCTTTTTCTGAGCAGCTTCTGCATCCGTGTTTGTATTGGGAAAGCAGTGTGGCCTGTGCCCTCACAGCGTTTTCATTCTCTCAAATTTCATGAGCTGACCTTATGACAAGTACGTGTTCTTTTGGTAACATAGAAGAATCGACACCCTAAAGTCCAACCTATAAAGGGCTAGTTACACCTCAACCAAACCACTCATTATGATTCCAGGTATTAGTCAGTTAGTTTTGTGAGACCTACCAGGTGTTCAATTGACCTTCGTTGTTACTGCTACACAATGGCCAGCTCACAAAAAGCTCCTGGATTCGAATGACAGCTGTAAAGCCTTTCAGGCCGCCCCCTGCCGCTTTTGCATTCCCTGTCATGTTGACCTGTGCGGAATGCAATTGCCCAATGTCAGCCAACACGTTGGCAAACCTAACTTGCAGCAGCTTGCTTTGAGTGTGCAATGTAGATAGAGTCCACACAGTATGGTACTGGTGCCAGTGCCAGTAGTACTAGCATTATTAGTCTAATGGTCCCATAGCCATAGCCATAGTTATTACTTGTTGCTGGGTTTAGATAAGTGCACGTGCACATGACCATTTCAAACAAAGCTCAGGGAAACCAAGAGCGGTACACAAAAAGTGCATTCAATTGGCCGATGGCTCCATGGCTTACATCTGTGACTGCCTATAGTTTTATAGGTTTATAGGTGATCTTAATAGTGATAGCCAGCAAAGCTGCAAGGCATGCATGAAGTGCAGCTACACTGAAATGAGCTCGTTTCATGCACATTGTCACTTGATTCGTTTGATAAAGAAGGATTTGCTCCAAGCCAACAGGAAGTTGACTCAGGCCGCCCTACCCTTTCTACATGGAGTTGTTGTACATGCACACGAGCAGCAGTTTTGAAAAAAGACACAAACCAACTGACAATCATTAAGTTGTGAGTTGTGGTTTGATTGTCCCTTCATCAATTCAACACAAATCCATCTCATCTCCATGATAGCAATCCCTGGCCCCTCACCCAATCACTAAACTGCAACACAAGCCCCAATTCGATCAACACATACATAACAACAACAATATATATATATATAGTCTTGAGTTGGTCTTGAGTCAATGCTCTTAACATAAGACAAAAACAAAACAAAGATGGCGGGGCCGGCTGAAGATAGGATCAGGTCATTCTAATTTGAAATTGCAGGGCAGGTTCCCTAACTACAGGCGTTTCTGCCACTGTGACAGTGGCAGCTGGCTCTACTTCAACAAATGACTGCCCTTCACAAGCTTTAATGTTTGGGCTTTGTCATTTGCTGACTCATCCTGCTTCTTCCTACGCTTCTTGGAAGCAGCCGTCTCTTGCCCCTCAGCTTCCAACTGCATCTCTCGCAATTGCAGGGCTGCAGCCACCCCGCAGCGTGTGTCCGGCATCTTGACAAACTTTTTTGTCCTGGAAGCTTTGGCTGCTGACTCGGCGGGTGTCATTGCTCGTGCCAAGGGAAGCGGTTTGGATTGCATCACTGCTTTGTCCGCAATGCAAAGCCTAAGCTGGATTGAATTGGGCCAAAGGCAAAGTATTTGCTCTAGTTCACTCAGGCCTGCACTTGCTCTAGGTCACTAGGTAACACAAACACAACAAACGGAGATACCGATACCTGTAGTGAAAATTGATAATATGTGTTTGTGATTTTTGTTAGAGTCCTCAACCTTTGCCCCACCGAAATCAAATTGCTCATACTGAGCCCAGCAGCGAATGGATGTGCAATTCCATCTGCATGTACAATGGCTTTGGTCCAGCACAAGTTCTCAACTTCTTGAAAGGAGACTCCTCAGGCTCCTCCTCAGCTGAGTCTAGTTCATTGTCTTGATGTTTGTGTGCTGTCTGCTCCATTTGTGGTTGCTGAGGCTTAGGAGGCGCATCCTTCCCAGGAGCCGCATCAGGAACTTGACTTTCACTGGCCTTCTCCTGGAATGAGGAAGCATCCATGACGGTATCAGGCAGCCCAAGTGCTTCCGTATCACCTCCCCCTTCCCCTTTTGAGAGCACTGAATCAGGAGCTGCATCAGCATCTTTTGGTGGCCTTGTCTCTGACAACTCTCCCTCTCCCTGAGGACCATCAGCACTCTTAGCCCCAGGCTCATGCTCCTTTTCCTTAGTCTCCATGTTGTTTGGCTGCTGCTGCCCCTCCTTCTGCTCCTCCTCCTTCTCATCCTTCTCCTTTTGGATTGCTGGAATCGCTTCTTTCCACTTCTTGGCCAGCTTCTTGTACTTCTGTGCCCTCGCCTCTGCTTTCTTTAGGCTTTGAATCAAACAAGTCTGCGCCTGTTTTTCCTCCCACTCCAGCACTGGGCTTGATGTTGAAACTGTACCGTTCGAGGTGATGTACACTGAGATGGTTGAGTGAGCTGCCTCCAGTGTCACATTCTCTCTTTTTGGAGTTGGCTTGGCCAACCAGGCTGGCACCACTGCGTCTCCACCTGGTGGCGCTGGTGTTGGATGGATGAAGAACTGGATGTCACCAAGTGTGCCCAAAGGAAGCGAATGAGCTGAGGGCTCTGTTGATACTCCCCCACAGTACATGAGCTCCATCATGTCTGGACAATTGACCGTGACGCATTTTTCTGAACCTTTGAGACCAGCACCAGCCGGGTCTGCCACATACATGATGTGTTTCTCTGGTACACTGCTTCTGCTCTCATAGAAACGCCACAGCACAGCTTCAAGCCCTCTCTCTACAGCCTTGATCCACAAAGCATTTGCTTCAACATTGATCTCTCTCAAATGCCCATAGACCTTGTCTCTGTCGCAAGATTCTTCAAACAGGGCGTCGTCCTCCTTGAAAGATGGAAACATGTTCAAGCTAATAGGCTGGTGGATATGCTTGAGAGGTACCAATGCCTTCTTCAGCAGGCGTTGTTGCTCAGTCTCATCATCCTTGGCCTGATCGTCATCTTGTTCCTGCAGAGGGGCCAGGGCAAGAACTACAAACTACTGACTGAGCCCTAGAAACTTTGGGGACTGAGAGCAAGGCACGCCAAGTTGCCCTCACAGATTTAGGTAACATACAGACCTTTGACGAAGTACTTTCCAGGCAATGAGGAGCAAGGTGTCAAGAAGCGTTGCTTTTGAGTTGAGAATTTCCTGGAGGTCCCTAGGTCCAGCAGGCAAAGGGAGGTTGTTACGTGGTTTTAACATAAAATCAACTCTGTATTCAGTCTCAGTTCTCCAGGTCTCCTGGTCATCTTTCGCTTTCGCTGCGGTTCCCTTGTCACCAGCTTCTGCCTGAAAGGAGAAGAGAGGCCTTGAACGTTGTTGTTCCTGGTGCTCATCCTTGTTTGGAGCAGCATTGGCATTGCTGCTAGTCACACCCTGCATCTTCTGCAGAACTTCCGGAACACTCTTGACATCAGGCTTGTGTGAGAGAAAGCGCAACCAGGAGTCTGGCCAGACTGTATCTCCTGTGTAAGCCAGTTCCTAAGTTTAGGCATGTTTAGGCCAACGAGACATAGGTGCCGCAACAACATCACGAGGATCACCACCTAGAGATATTTACACTGGCTGATTAGTACCAGCTCCAGACATCAGTACCAGCTCAGATTATAAAGAGTCCAGGTGCAACAAACACGAAAATATAAGATCACACAGCCCAAGAAGCAAGATCGAAGGCAGCCAATGCTCCTTCAAGCTTTGACAGGTGCCCTTCCAGTGAGGCTTCAGATTCGGCAGTGTCGGTTGCCACTGTGTCAAGCTCTGCTGCGATTGATGTAATGGATTTTTGCATCGTATCAGGGCATTTGAATACTTTCATGGCAATGAGGTCTTTCAAACCCAGCATGATGTACTTTGCACGGATCACACAGAAGGTAGCCAAATTGTGTATGCTACCGAAAGCATCTTTGGAATTCTCCACGAACCTGCCGCCAGCCTTCTGGCACAAGTAGCTCACTCCTGCAGCATAGATCAACCAGTTTGACGGCAGCACGTGCATCTCGTTGAAGACATCATAGAAGTGTGCCAACTGAGATTTCATATCCCCCATGTCTCTGAACTGCTTCACTTGCGTCCCCAAAGCTTGTCTGAACTTTCCAAAGTTCTCATGTAAGGACACTGGCAAGGGCAGCTGAGAGTCAACAAATTTTCTAATCTCTTTCTCCTTCTCAGATCCAAATGTGCGGATGTAAGACAACATTGCCTCCTCATCCACCTCATCCTTCTCGCCCTTGACTTCTGAGACCACCTGAGTTGTACGTCAACTGACATGAAGAAAGAATGAAACGATGAGATGATAATGAAAAGCTCCGGAAAAGATCACGATAATATGATAATGACAGTGAGACATATGTTTCTTCTGACTTATCATCATATATCCTATCATATTCGTCATATATGTCATATACTATTACTATTACTATATATTAGTATATTATACATTACATATCGTGACTGTCAAACTGAGTCAAACTGTCAAAAGCAGGTGTTCAAATAGCCAGTTATTGTTCGCAAATCGGTTCGCAAATCAGGTTAGCAGTTAGGCGGTCAGCGGTTAGTCAGTCAGTACCAAACTAAGCTTGGCACTGGGGCCTCCAGCATGGACATCAGATCCTGAGCAAGCTTTAGCGGGTCCACGCTTTCTCCACGGAATTGGAGCTTCTGATGAGCTGCATAGAAGATTCTGTGAACCTCCTCTCTGAATGTGGAATATGTTTTGTATTGCTTCCCATTGGCTGCGACAGAGCAGTTCCAACTCAGCTCAAGAAAGAGGCTGACCAAAAAGCTCTTGCTCCGTGAGCACTCCTCTTCATTGATCTCGTGGTTCAAGTTTGACCGCAGGAAGCTCAAGGTACACAAGAAGTCATCTAGCGCACGCTTGATTCTGCGATCAGGGTTGTTGCCTGCAATCGTTTGAATGTGGACATCAAACTCGTCGCATTCATCCTTGCCTTGCGTAGGCTTGGATTCCACACCACCTTCTTTAGCTGCCCCTCCATCAGCCCCTGCGGTCTTCTTTTTGTTTTTCTTCTTGGCTGCAGCAGCAGCAGTCCTTTGCTTCTGAATCCTCTTCCTTATTTTTTTGCCACGCTTCTCCTGTCTTTCTTTCTTCAATTCAGAGATGGCCTCATCTACATCGACGTCACCATCAGCATCCTCCTCATCATCATCGTCAGCTTCTGACTCTTCAATGACAGGCGGCTTGCCACCACCGCCGCCACCAGTGCTTCCTTTCTCCCCTTTCGGGGTGTCATCAAAACCATGGTCCAGCTGTTTTGCCAATTCCTTCTCAATTGCACTTTGGAGAACTGTATCTTCATCCTTCAGAGCCTGTGCTGTCAGTCTAGCAGTTATCAAATTGTTTGGGAGGTGAGTGGAGGAGGGATTCCCAACAACAGTGCAACCCTTTGCAGCTGCTCAAACAAATTTAGGAACCACAGGCCACAGGCCCATTGCAAAAGGAAGCCTAAACCGAAGCACCATCAAACCAGCTAATGCGTCGCCTTGCCTTCTTCTTGAGGATCTTCTTGAAAGCTACACTCTCTCCCATAGGTATAGTAACGTTGGCCATCATGTTCTTGTCAGAGAACCCAGGTCGGAAAATGTGCGGGATAGGTCGTTGGGCTCCGTTGCTGGTAGAGGGAACCTGAGATATTCAACACTGATGTAAGACATAAGAGCCAGGCAAGAACAAAAGGTTCCTCCCATCAACCAGTTGACTTTTGCCTGACTCCTTTAAACATCATGTGACTTGAAAATGACTAGACTGTATCATGTCCTATGCAGTTTTACAAACATCAACAGCCAACAGTTAATGTGAGCTTGGGTGTTTCCCTGCCCGTTTCCAACTTTAACCTGCCTGACAGATTCTTCAAACAGAGTCGCAGTGACAATGTATGGCAAGGTAAATCATTTATCATTATCGTCGTGTACCACTAGTGAACACCTGCATGATTATTTGTTTGATTGTTCTGACTCTCCAAACACCTACCAAGAAACGCAAAACTTCAGAGCTTCCATCAGCACCACCTGAATGTCGTTCTTGCTGTGATAGCCTTTGAGTGCTTTCGTGATGATGTTTGCCATTTGGCACATCATTTGCGCTGAATGAGAAGGAGACACTCCGCAAAGAAAATCTCCGTGAGCCAGGTGCCACTCCTGTAAATTGAGAAACAACACTTGTTGTTGGACTTGTTGGTCAAACTTGTTTGGTTTGCAGTCACTCCAAATTTCAATTAGATACGAAGCAGTTGAGAAATAGATTGCCTAGCTGCCAGGCTGGTCTCTTTTACGTATTTCAAGAAACAACAAATTAAGACGAGGCCAGGGCATGAACTAGTTGCTAGCACTAGCACTATACATTCACATTCACATCACTCCTGGTAATCTCAAAGCTGAACTTGAAACAGTATCAGGTGTTATAACTGTTATCACGGTGTTGTCCAAACAGCGAGCAGAGTTTCTTAGCCAGGCTTTGCTTTCTTTGTCCCCCATCAGTCCTCAAACTGCTTGAGGGCATCGAAGGCTTCCAACATATGCCCCAATGACTTTGCATCAGAAAAGAGGTTGATGGAGTCTCTGAAAGTGGGAGAATGGTGTCGCACATGAGCATCATAGATCTTCTGATACTCTGAATGTCGTGTGGTAATGCCTTCTGTGGTACATTTCTTTTTCCAGCTCCCCTCCAACTCCAAAGCCTCACTAACCAAAGCCAGTGGGGTGACACCTGAGCCGGAATGATGCCGGTTATGCTCATCACACATCCATTTGATCACCCACTGAGGAGTACTTTTGTGCAAAATGCGGGCCCTTCGAAGTCCTTGTTTCAGCGTTTGCTGAATCATTGGATGGTCAGGCTGCTTCTCCATGCACGAGTAAAATGCAGCCCTCCGATGATTGAAGCTCAATGCAAGCAGTGGGTAATTTTGTTGCCTTGGACCCTGGCTCCACCGCAGCCATGGAAGTCCTGAGCTGGTCAGGAAGCCATGCCCCCAACATTATCCTAGAATGGTGGTCACTATGGTAGTCAACTTGTCAACTCAACACAACATGGAAACAGAGGACTGGGGCACCGCCTTCAATTTGTGTAGAACATAGGCAAACAGCCACCCTGTACATAAATATACATACATACATACAAACATACATACACACATTCATACTTTCATACATTCATACATGCATACATACAGACAGACATGGTCCATAAGTCCATAACAGACCGGTGTGGTGTAAGACAGTCTGTAACCTTTTACAAAAATACTGTAAATAAATAAAACACACACATATATATATATATACCAGGTATAGATCATTTATATTGTATAGTCGTATAATAGTGAACTAGTTGAACTAGTATAGTTCACTATTACTATTTTACTAGTGAAATAAGTAGTAAATAACAAATCCAAGATTCCAGAGCAGTCATCAGCCAGCCCAGAGTTGAGCAGTCGTTCTTCATACTCGCGAACTGTGGACTGTTGTAAAGGGCGGTTGAGGGGGTCCGCCACAACGTTTGGTTTGTTGTTCTCACCAAACCACGAAATGTCAATGATCTCTCCACTGGGGTCCCCAAATATTTCGAAGATGCGCTCAATCCTTGCAGCTCCATGGTAATCACTGAAGACAGTCTCAATGTCTTGATTCTCTTCCCACAGGTTCACACCACTCTCACTCTGCTTGCCAACTCTTCGCCTCCTTGTTGGGGTGGGAGTTCCTTCCACCGCACGTCTATGGGCCATGTTGTTGCAAAGTTCTGTGCTGTGATCTCAAAAGGTCCAGCCACACTGGCGTGTGACCCGAGCACGGACGGAAAGGTTGGCTTAGCAACCTCTTCAACTGAAAGCCGCAAGGATCAACTGTCAGCTGTCCAGGGTCTAGTTAGTCAGTTGACCAGCACAGCTATCAGCGATCCTTTTGTTGCCCTTTTGAGCCACAAATGGAAACAAAACAGTCACGCTGAATCAATGAAAAGACAAAAGTAACTGTGACAGTGACTAACCGGGACCGAAACCGTTCAGTGCCCCTCTACTCCCAGTTGTTCTTGCTTCTTAGGGCCAAGCTGGCTGCTATAGAAGTCGGCAAAAGCTTCTGCAAAGCTTTGCTGATGCAGAAGATCTGCCACCACCTGCACCGTCAGTCCCGGTTTCACTAGTTGAGAACAGTACCTGGCCAATCCATTGCTGCATTGTATGCACTGGGTAAGAATGAAACAATGGACTTGCTGACTGATTGTTAATTGTGTGTCCGTAAATGACCCGTGTGCATGGCCAGGACCAAAATACAAAGACCTTCACTCACCTTCAACCCAACACGTCTACAAGTTTACAAGTAATGCAGTGTGAAAAGAAACAAACAGAGGCATACTGAGCTGGCTAGCACTCACACGCCGATGTTCTGCAAAAGAAGGGAAACTGTAAAGCTCAAACATTTTGCTGCACGTGTTTCTGAAAGTCACCACCGTATCCGCAGGGTGCAAGCGCAGGACTGGAAGTGGCAAAATGAGCAGTCTTGATTGAGCAACAGGAAAAGCACACCACCTGTTTGTTCAAACTCCAGCACTTAGGACTTAGGACTTAGGACTGTCTGACTCAAATCCAAAATGTTGACTGGCAACTAGCTGCTGCTCACAACCAGACCTGTTCAAACTGATTCCAAAGTAACCGATGTACAGTTACAACTGTGTGTCCCGGGGTTCAGCTACATTGAACATGCATTTGGATCTTGCTTCTTCCCTCTAATGCGGACAGGTGGAGGAGGAGGTCGTTGCTGAAGTGCCTTTGACTTTGCCCTACTCTCCTCAGCAGCATCATTCAAGCGCCGTTTCTGGGCACGAGCTTGGATGGAGGCGTCCATGAATAGAGAGAGTTCCTTCAATATCCTGCCAACAGAGCACAATATATGCAATGAATATGATCACTTGAATGCTCTTGAACTAGTTTTCGGACACCACGAATCGAAAGAAAATCAAGAGTAGTATGTATGTACAAAAACATGTATGTATGTATGTTTTGTATCAGTGTAAGTGAAAGTGTATCTGTGTATGTATGTAAGCAGAATCATGGTCAACATCAACATCAATCCTATGCTGCTAAGCTTCTAAGCTTCACTATATTTCCTGTGAGTGTGCAACAAACATACAAGCAATGCAAGAGAATGACTGAGCCGTCCCTCCTGTTGGATTGTCCAGACGGCTTCCAACATACTGCAGAGTGGAGGTGACACAAAAATGGGCAAACCACTGACATGCTGTTGCCAGCTTGTCCACACACTGTTCTCGGCTTTCTGGATCGTGGGAAGTTGAAAGGACACAGCTTCACATTTCCAAGGGCGGGATGGACAGGGAATGCTTGCATGGCCAAACACTCGCTTCCAAACATCCATCTTGAACACGCTCTTTGTGCACCAGGATAGTCTACCGGGCATGTGTATTCTCCCGAAGGTGGTTGGTGAACTTCATCAACCCAAATCCTGTGGTTGGTTTGGCTGCCCAGGATGAAAGAACATGAGGTTCAGGTTTAGTCTAGTAACAAACGACTACACATAGGAGGGCGCACGTGCCCAAAGTGGGATAGTCAGCAAAGTGGACCAAAAGAATTCAAAGGCAACGCCTTTCTAACTCCTGATCAAGATTCAGGCCGCAGTTCCTGATCAGGGTATGAATCCAAAGCATGGAACTGTGCATCCCATGGCCTGCGTCCGGGTTCTGGTTCAATTGCCATGCTTCTCCAGGACACTTGCGACCATAGGCATCTCTTGTCTTCAACTCACTGACATTCAAAGCTGCCAGGAAAGGTTGCTTCTTCTCTCCGCCCCCTTCATGGATGATGTCCTGGAACACAGATCCAGTGTTTAGTAGAATCTGTTTTATCTTGTAAGGATTTCAATCCAGCCATCTGTTAGACAAGCGACAAGGAAACAATTTAACACAACACATACCGATAAAGTCAAAGTCCCATCATGTTTCAGAGAGTCCTTGGCCCAAGATACCTGATCTAGCCCGTAGTGTTCAATGATGGGCTCAACAGCCTCTGCATCCCCAAAGGCATGAAACATAGATAGCTTGCGATTCCGAGCCCAAGAAAGTTCTTGGTCATATTCGTTTGCTATCACCCCGTCTTTGAACATGTGTGCAAAGAAGACTTCTCTCCAAGAAAACATTGTTGCCCTGTAGAATCTGCGGGGGAACCTCGTCAATGGTGAAAGCTGATAGAGGGCTGCGCCTTTGTGTCTGAGCCTGTGGTACTTCCTCAAGCGAGCTGTTGGGAACCTCAAGGTGCATTGGCAGTGTCCATCAACATCCAGTCAAGCTTTTGACAACAAACAGGTGTGGACTCAGTGTGGACTACCAGTGACAAAGCCAACAATTTTAATTACTATAATTACATATTATATATATATATAGCTTAGCCGCCCCAAGTCCAAGTAGAATTCATTCTAGAACGAGCAAACTTCCAATGTAGGAGAGCAACCCAAAGGATCTAGGGTCAAGCAAGGTTGCTTCAATGTGGTAGGCTGGACCAAGCAGGCGTTCAAGAACGTCAGTGCTGAACTCCGCAACGTTCTCAAGTGTCAGCTCAGGCTCCATGATCTCTAAGCGCAGTCCAGCCCAAGCAAGGAAGTGAATAGCGTTCTTGTCACTGAAGGCCAACTGTTTTCCTTGTTTGCTGTGAGCAGTGCAACTGCTCCCAGCAATGTGAGAACGAGCCAATGTGAGGAAGCATTCTTTGTTGTGTCTCACGCACCATGCCTTCCTCTTCATTGCTCTTCTTTCACATATGACAGGAGAAAGGATCTCTAGGGCCATTCCAGGCTTGTTCACAAGATCTTGAATCACTGGTTGAAGCTCATCTCGGAAGAAACTGGCAATGTCTCCAAACACGCAAGTATTTTGACCTGCTTCTCCAATATTGTCGCAAAATGATATAAGCTCCGCTTGACAGTCCTTGTCCCATTCAATAAAGCTGAGGAATCTGGGCTGAGGAACCTTAGTTCACAACTGGGCCCATTCACCACAATGCAACTCTGATCACCTCTCCTACAGTTCTAGTTCTATAGTTTGATTTGTTCCCAAGTTTACCCAAGTTTAGTAGTAGTGTGAACAAAACAAATGTAACCGAGGACAGGGACAGGAGCCTGTTGAAGCAAAATAGTCTAGAGTCCGTCCAGAGTCCAGCTAAGTCCAGCTAGTAGTCCAGCTATATATTCTACAACTAGAATGAGAACATGTTGCAAGCTCTGCAACCCAGCATCTTTCTGGTTTGGAAGACGATCTTGCACAGCCTTGTGTAGTGCAAGCAAAGCGGTTTCCGGTGCCCCCACTCCACTAAATGCAGAACTGTGGGTTGACTCTGCCAGAAACTCCGCCAAATCATTGAGTGAACACTTGGGCTCAAGCTGGGAGTAGCTTGAGCAGGAATAATCTGAATTCAGCACTTCTTCCACGAAAGTATCGTAGAACATCAAAGCTTCCTGCAAGGACTTAGTTGCCTTTCCCTGTCCTGACTGCCCACATTGGAAGGTCTCAAAAGTGCGTCGTTCCTCCTCCAATCGCTCACGATTCTTTTCTTGCTGAGAGATGAGCTGACTGTCCTCTTGGACTTGGGTCTCTTGACATCCTGCATCAGTCGGAGCAGAATGCGAAGGCACTTGACCTGCAGGCTCAGGCTCTTTCTTACCTTTGCAGCTGCAGTTGCAGGTGGACTTGTCTCAGCTTGCCCGAGAATATCCACTCCAGAATCAAACCATATCGGAGGAGGAGGAGGATTTTCAAAGAACATTGATATGGTTGGCTGCTGGTTGCCCGCTGCTGAAGAGGAAGCCGCAGAAGAAGAAGGTAGGGCAGCAGCATCTTCCTCATCAGAACGCTTCCGCTTGTCTGTGTTGCTCTTCTGGAGCAAAGGAACATCATCTTTTGATGCCCAGGCATCCTCCCACTTGAACTTGTACCACACCTCCTCCAGGAAGTAGGAGTTTGTTTCGGATGGCTTCTAGTTCACTTGTTTGCCAAGCAAAAAGAAACAATCATATACAATCATACAATCATAAAAAACGGTTTAGTTCTTTAATCAAGCTACATTTCAAGTTCATCTAACACAAGTCAGTGATGTTTCTGTTGCAGGCAGTCCTGAGAAGAACTTGGAAGGTAGTAAGCAGGATCACAAATCCAATCCAGCTCAATCTGCCACGCGACGCAACCTCCCTTGTTTTTCTTCCATCCACTTGACATGGCAGTGTAGGTACTTTGACTCACTTGGTGGCGATCGAAAAAGGAATGAAAATCCTCATGCGGAATGAAGTGATTCCCAACAAACTTGACTCTGGCTGCGATTTCCAAGCAGGACTGCCCCCACTTGTTCTTGCCTTGTCCTTTCTCAGGAATTCTCAAAATGTAGAAGAATCCATCTGGCTGGATAATCCGGCAATAATTGTTCCGAATCTCGTAAGTCTTCTTTCCCTGCAAGATTGCATCCACATGGTCGCTGTGAATCAGAAGCCCCCGCACCAAGATGTTGGGCCTCATAGAATGCATACGCATACATACGCACACACACAGACATGGAGTCTGAGACGGTATGTAACATACATATAGGTGTGTGTGTGTAGATGGCATTACTTTATGTTGTTGTTATTATCTAATATTATTGTGTGTTTTGACTTTTGTAGTTTATAATCATTACACTACAACTCTCCAGGACCTTTGAAGAGCTCCCTCCCAAAGACCCTCAGGACCCCCCCTCCCGAAGACCCTCAGGACCCCCCTCCCGAAGACCCTCAGGACCCCCC